TGGGGACACAGCCAGACAATGCATTGTACAGGACCCTGGGGAGGGGGGGGAATAATGGGGACACAGCCAGGCAATGCATTGTACAGGACCCCGGGGGGGGGGGGAATACTGGGGACACAGCCAGGCAATGCATTGTACAGGATCCTGGGGTGGGGGGGATAATGGGGACACAGCCAGGCAATGCATTGTACAGGACCCCGGGGGGGGGGAATAATGGGGACACAGCCAGACAATGCATTGTACAGGACCCCGGGGTGGGGGGGGAATACTGGGGACACAGCCAGACAATGCATTGTACAGGACCCTGGGGTGGGGGGGAATAATGGGGACACAGCCAGACAATGCATTGTACAGGACCCCGGGGTGGGGGGGGGAATATGGGGACACAGCCAGACAATGCATTGTACAGGACCCCGGGGGGGGGGGGGGGGAATACCGGGGACACAGCCAGACAATGCATTGTACAGGACCCCGGGGGGGGGGGGAATAATGGGGACACAGCCAGACAATGCATTGTACAGGACACCGGGGAGAAGGGGATAATGGGGACACAGCCAGACAACGAATTGTACAGGACCCCGGGGTGGTGGGGGAATAATGGGGCACAGCCAGACAATGCATTGTACAGGACCCCGGGGTGGGGGGGAGTAATGGGGCACAGCCAGACAATGCATTGTACAGGACCCGGGGGGTGGGGGGGGAATAATGGGGCACAGCCAGACAATGCATTGTACAGGACCCCGGGGTGGGGGGGGAATAATGGGGACACAGCCAGGCAATGCATTGTACAGGACCCCGGGGTGGGGGGGAATACTGGGGACACAGCCAGGCAATGCATTGTACAGGATCCTGGGGTGGGGGGGGATAATGGGGACACAGCCAGGCAATGCATTGTACAGGACCCTGGGGGGGGGGGAATAATGGGGACACAGCCAGACAATGCATTGTACAGGACCCCGGGGTGGGGGGGAATACTGGGGACACAGCCAGACAATGCATTGTACAGGACCCCGGGGGTGGGGGGGAATAATGGGGACACAGCCAGACAATGCATTGTACAGGACCCCGGGGTGGGGGGGAATACCGAATAATGAGGGACACAGCCAGACAATGCATTGTACAGGACCCCGGGGGGGGGGGGGAAATACCGGGGACTGGGCCAGAAATGCATTGTTAAACCCCGGGGGGGGGGGGGGGGGGGGGAATACCGGGGACACAGCCAGACAATGCATTGTACAGGACCCCGGGGGGGGGGGGGGGGGAATAATGGGCACGGTCAGGCAATGCATTGTACAGGACCCCCGGGGGGAATAATGGGGACACAGCCAGACAATGCATTGTACAGGACCCCGGAGGGGGGGAATAATGGGGCACAGCCAGACAATGCATTGTACAGGACCCCGGAGGGGGGGAATAATGGGGACACAGCCAGACAATGCATTGTACAGGACCCCGGGATGGGAACAGGGGAGCACAGCACTCTGGGGAGAGGGGGAAATAATGGGGACAGGGGAGCACTGCACCCTTGGGGGGGGGGGGGGGGATATTGGGGGCAGGGGAGCACAGCACCCTGTAGTGAATACTCTGTGGCAGAGGTGTAGTCTGAGCCGTTATCTTGGCTGTAATACCTCCTTGTGGTCTGTAGGCGTCACTGTTGTCATGCTTTAGATACGCTGAACGTCTGTGTTTTGTTTTGATGTCAAAATTTGATTTCATTTTTCGTTGTCTTTTGAATGAAAATGTAATTTTAGTTGTATTTTAGTCATCTGAATTCGTTGTATTTTAGTCGACTCAAATATAATGGGGTGAGTTACATATGTAAGCATTTCTCTGGAATCGCCGAAGTCGTTCTATACTGTCGTAGTGACAATCAAAAGCCGCGTTGTTTCTGGCGTTGAGGGTTGGGCACGCACTACACACACAGATTTAGCCGGGGGGGTGATAAAAATTGTCTTTATAAATAAAACCAAATTACAGAAACAAATTGTTTTTTGACAAACAGAAGTTCAGCTTTAATATATGAACCCCGTGACCTGTCGGCTGTACCGCCATTGCGCAGATTTCCCCAATTCATCACCAATATTAAGGAAAATCTCAGTAGGGCCTTTTTCTTTCAGCAGCTCAGTGACGCCCCCACTCACTCTTCTATGGTAGCGCAGTGTTCATTTTGAGGTCAAATTTCGAGTTTGTTTTAGTCGTCTGAATTTCGTCTTTTGAATAAAATTTCGACTCAAATAGTTCCCCTCCAGCACCTGATAGAATTTGGAGATCTCTGATGCTGATTGACAGATGGAACTGCAGCTTCCACTCCCCTTCTCAGTTCTATCGTCTGACCAGACATGGCCCTCCTATGTAATGTGCACCACTCATGTCTGGGGGGTCGATGGGGGGGGGGGGGGGGGTGATTGGTGCCTTACAGCCCTCCCCCATTCTATGAAGTGTTCCAGTATGACATTATACTTCATATCACCAATCTTCCTTCTCAGGACATTCTGATTAATGGCATTACTCTTCTGTTTAGGGTAATTCAGAGGACGGTGACCAGGATGACGACTCCGACTCCAAATCCCCAGGAAAAGGTCGGAAGAAGATCAGGAGAATCATAAAAGATGACAAGCTAAGAACAGAAACTCAGAATGCCTTAAAAATGGAGGAAGAGAGAAGGAAGAGGATCGCAGAGAGAGAGCGAGAGCGGGAGAAGCTGCGTGAGGTGAGGGGGAGGCGGGAGGGGGAGAAGGATGCGGCAGGCAGGAGGGGGAGAAGGATGCGGCAGGCAGGAGGGGGAGAAGGATGCGGCAGGAGGAAGATGCGGGTGGCGGGCAGGGGGGGGAGGAGGATTCTGGGAGGGGGAGGAGGATTCTGGAGGGGAGAAGGATGCGGCAGGGGGAGAAGGATGCGGCAGGGGGAGAAGGATGCGGCAGGGGGAGAAGGATGCGGCAGGGGGAGAAGGATGCGGCAGGGGGAGGGGGGGATGCGGCAGGGGGAGGGGGATGCGGCAGGCGGAGGGGGAGGAGGATGCGGGAGGGGGGGAGGATGCGGGAGGGGGAGGAGGATGCGGGAGGGGGAGGAGGATGCGGGAGGGGGAGGAGGGATGCGGGAGGGGGAGATGTAGGCGGAGGGGGGATGGTTGAGGATGAGAGCGGTGGGGGAGAAGCTGGCGGGGGTGAGGGGGAAGGAGGGGGGATGGTCGAGGAGGGGAAGCTTGCAGGGGGTGAGGGGGAAGCCGCAGAGCATTTCTTTTCATCCTCCATCCTACAATTGGAATACACAGATTTTGTTTGGTTCGGGCCTGATGAATATTATACACACAAGTGCGACAGATTGATCTGATAAGATTGGTTTGTGTGTGGCTCAAGCACCCTGCATCCCCATAGGTTGTAAGTATCTCCCGTCAACCAGTTAGGTGACACAAGAGGCAGCCTATGGGGATGCCGGGCCTTTGCGTGGAGCTGGAGAGGGCGTCTCGGCAATCTCATTTCTATGGAATGTGACTTCCAGGACTGCCACCAGCTTGTACAGGCCGGAGGATCTTTAGTTGGATGTATTCCATATCCAGTCTGATATTAGAGGAAGTTGATGATGTTTTTGGGTCTTCAGGTCATCATCATGGAAGATGCTTCGCCTGTAAAGTGTCCAATTACCACCAAACTGGTTCTGGATGAGGATGAGGAGACAAAGGAGCCTCTGCTTCAGGTTCACAGTAGCTTGGTGACCAAACTGAAGCCTCACCAGGTAGACGGTAAGAAATCGTTCAGATTTGCTGAGATGTAAAATATTCACCAATAGTGATGAATGGCCACTCCATAGCTTCTCACCTCTGAGGTCAGGAGATATTGGGGATTGTAGTTGTCGTGCTCTACGGATGGAAACGAGTTTATAATAGAAGAAGTGATGACGTGGTTTGTTGTGTCATTCCTTCTTCTGGGTTCACGAAGGCCCCGTGTGTGCGACTCTCACTGCTTCCCACAAATGTCTGCAATGTATGGGGAAAGATCTCCGCTTTACAGACTCCCTGATACCTTCCATGTCGTCGTCATCCCCTGTCTGTATATCAATGTCCCTCTCAAGAGGTTCCCTCTGCTCCCCCGATGGAAGTGCTGAGCATCCCTGTGATCCCTATTGCTACCTCTCTGTAAATTACTGTCCCTGTGCCCGGAGAGTCCTGTGCTGTGGAGGAGGAAGATTTGATCCGTAACCACTCAGATGTTAATAATCGTCTGTTTTGTCGGTGGGAGGAAAATAATGAACCGGAACCTGCGGCGGGGTGAAGCCATTGTTCACACCGTGTGCTGGCGGGGTGGGGCCGTGTGCTGGCGGGGCCGTGTGCTGGCTTGGGGGGGGGCCGTGTGCTGGCGGGGCCGTGTGCTGGCTGGCGGATTTCTGTAACCTGTCCTAATTGTGTCCCTCTAGGTGTTCAGTTCATGTGGGATTGCTGCTGTGAGTCGTTGAAGAAGGCGAAGAAGGAGTCGGGCTCTGGCTGTATATTGGCTCATTGTATGGGTCTTGGGAAGACTTTGCAGGTGAGGTTTCTATTCTGCATATAATAAAATGTGTACACGGGGTGAGCGGTGCCATGCAGGTTGTCAGCAGCCCTCCCACACAGAGAGGGCAGAGGGGATGAAGGATCGGTAGGATGTTTATCGTATGGCACACTTCATGGTGGTGGACGTCTCCCTTCTTACCACCAGTGAGTGGCTGAGGTGCCACCAGTGAGTGGCAGGGGCGCCAGCAGTGTCTGGCGGGTGGCAGAGGTGCCAGCCGTGTCTGACACATTGAGGTCTGAGGATCTTCACTTCCCCAACCATACTCCATGTAGACGTTTCATCTCTGCAGATGGGAAGGTCGGCGTGTAATCCCGGAACACTCCAGCTGTGCAGGAATGACAGATTCTCATTTCATTATGCGGGATGATGTCATTCCACCACCAGCCAATCAACAGGCTGAAATCCCAACACCTGGAAATAACCAGGGAGCAGCTGGCAGGGGCCAGCGAGGGATTTAACGGCTGCATTGTTGGAACCAGAAGGTGAGTATAGCTTTCAGTATGGGCATTAGATCCACTTGGAGGACAGAGCTCTCCTCCAAGTCCCAGACCCAGTTTCTGGTCATGGATTATTCCGGTGCTGGGCCCGGTCCTGTTCTGTTCCATCTCCTTCCAGTGACCCGGGTGACATTCTCTGCTCCGGGTTTTTCATGTGTAAATGTCCTCACCCCCTGCACCCTCCTGATCCACACACAGCACACCCCCAGGACTCATCTGTGGGGGTCACATGTTTGGCGGTACACTGGGACGCCATTCGCTGGCTGAAGTCGGCGGTTCGTCTAATCTGTGTATTTACTTTAGTCTGGGAGCCAGCAGTTTGATCTTCAGCTTTCCTAGTAATTGGTTCTTCCCCAGGGGTGTATTTACAGACAATTCTAGTCATAACAATTACATTAGTCGAATAAAAAATATTCCAGCCTTCGCTCGCCGTATTCTCGCCGTTATTCCAGTGAATGCGCCGTATCAGGCCAAAGTATAACGCGAGTTCATCGTTGTGCGCCTTTCCTTTTCTTCTCAGCCACTCAGTAATGGGAAAGGAATTCGCTGCTTTTTTGGCCGAGCACAATGTTTATTTTTACATTAATTTTCAGTTTAGTTTCTTCATTTAGATGTAGTATTAAAGGAAAAGTGCGGGAAAATGTTGCACATCCTAGTGTGACGGTCTGTAAAGTGCGGGGAAAATGTCGCAAATCCTAGTGTGACGGTCTGTAAAGTGCGGGAAAATGTCACACATCCTAGTGTGACGTTCTGTAAAGTGCGGGAAAATGTCACACGTCCTAGTGTGACGGTCTGTAAAGTGCGGGAAAATGTCAAACATCCTAGTGTGACGGTCTCTAATGTGCGGGAAAATGTCACACATCCTAGTGTGACGGTCTGTAAAGTGCGGGAAAACTCCATTTATACTTTACCTGCAGGTGAGCTCAGAATAAAGCACGTTCGGGAGATATTCCCAGGAGCGGCAGTTGGTGACATCACCGGCACATGCGTTCTGAAGGAACGGTATATACCTGTGCTGTTCCTTCAGAGCTCTGTGTCGTGGCTCTAGCTCCCGTGTGCTGCTTGAGTGGCTTCTCCGCTATTCAAGTGGCCGCAGCCTGGAACCTGCACAGAATATTGGGTCAGAAATGGGAAGCCTCAGCAGTGGTGATGGCATGCTGCTGGAGGGCTTCTTTTTTAGGTATTTCATAATGTGCCAGTATGCGATGCCCCGAGGTGCGTGCGGTGCCCCGTGGTGCGTGCGGTGCCTCATTGTGTGCGATGCATACTAGCACATTATGCCTTTACCTTGTGGGGAATTTTTTTTTTTTTTTGTAGGTTTACTACTAGCGCTTTAACCACTTGTGGCCCGTCCACAGTACATTTACTGCAGGTGGCAGCTCCAGGCTAACCATTGTACTGGTACATCACTTGGCACATGCACACTGGGGCATACAGCAGCGGGTCACAGTGCTCAATGCCTGGCAACTGTGAGTGGTTTGGGGTATCATGTGATCGCTATGGCCAATCACAATAGTATCCTGATCACGGACACACCAGACATATGATGGCGCTGTGCTGCACTGGTGGCAGTACAACTTCAAAAAAAAAGTCTCCATGCCTCTTACTAAATACATCAGACTGTCTATTTCCAGACCCCACGTCTGTGGGCAGCCTCAGTGTAGACAAACTTTGGTTTTCTCAAGTGAATTTTCAGAAGATGCTCTGAGCGTCTCCCATACATGACATGACGAGTCTGAATGTCGTCATTAAACCTTCTGATTGGTTGAGATGAATTGTGACCTGCCCACAGCAGCACATGTAGAGTTTCATATAAGTCGGTCACAACGGTAGAAGCTGATTTGTTCGATGTCAATAGGTTGGTCATGTGATCATCCTGAATGTTACGTAATCCGTTTTATCAATGTTCATTCTTCCCAGGTGGTGTCTTTCCTTCACGCCATCCTCCTGAACGACAAGCTGGACTTCAGCACGGCTCTTGTGGTCTGCCCATTGAATACCGTTCTCAATTGGCTCAATGAATTTGAAAAGTGGCAAGATGGCCTAGAGGAAGATGAGAAGCTGGAGGTTTGTGATCTACTTGACTTCATAGTACGACCTTAGCTGTGTAATCTATAGACTAGAAATCTGTGGAGCCCTCACCATCTGAAGATCTTGCTGACATTCCATTCCAGAACTATGGCCATGACTATGGCGTAACCCCCTCCCCCATGGCCATTGATATGGCGTAACCCCCTCCCCCCGTGGCCATTGATATGGCGTGGCCACTGATATGGCGTAACCCCCTCCCCCCGTGGCCATTGATATGGCGTAACCTTCCTTCCCCCGTGGCCATTGATATGGCGTAACCTTCCTTCCCCCGTGGCCATTGATATGGCGTAACCTTCCTTCCCCCGTGGCCATTGATATGGCGTAACCTTCCTTCCCCCGTGGCCATTGATATGGCGTAACCTTCCTTCCCCCGTGGCCATTGATATGGCGTAACCTTCCTTCCCCCGTGGCCATTGATATGGCGTAACCTTCCTCATCCCCCGTGGCCATTGATATGGCGTAACCTTCCTTCCCCCCGTGGCCATTGATATGGCGTAACCTTCCTTCCCCCCGTGGCCATTGATATGGCGTAACCTTCCTTCCCCCCGTGGCCATTGATATGGCGTAACCTTCCTTCCCCCCGTGGCCATTGATATGGCGTAACCCCCCTTCCCCCCGTGGCCATTGATATGGCGTAACCCCCTTCCCCCCAAGATATGGCGTAACCCCCCTTCCCCCGTGGCCATTGATATGGCGTAACCCCCCTTCCCCCGTGGCCATTGATATGGCGTAACCCCCCTTCCCCTGTGGCCATTGATATGGCGTAACCCCCCTTCCCCCGTGGCCATTGATATGGCGTAACCCCCCTTCCCCGTGGCCATTGATATGGCGTAACCCCCCTTCCCCCGTGGCCATTGATATGGCGTAACCCCCCTTCCCCCGTGGCCATTGATATGGCGTAACCCCCCTTCCCCCGTGGCCATTGATATGGCGTAACCCCCCTTCCCCCGTGGCCATTGATATGGCGTAACCCCCCTTCCCCCGTGGCCATTGATATGGCGTAACCCCCCTCCCCCCCCCCCGTGGCCATTGATATGGCGTAACCCCCCTTCCCCCCCTTCGCCATGGCCGTTAATATGGAGTTGGCTCACTATAACATCCTCCAAGATTTTGTAGGAATTTGTCCCATTTGTGAGGTCAGGTACTGATGTTCGATGAGAAGACCTGGATCACCATCAACATTCCAGTTCATCCCAAAGGTATCCAGTAGGGTTGAGGTCAGGGCTCTGTACAAGACACTGGAGTTCCTCCACACCAAACTGGTCATCCATGTATTCATGGATCTGGCTTTGTACACGGGGGACAGTCATGGGAGAAGAGAAAAGGGTTTTCACCAAACTGGTCCTCCATGTCTTTATGGAGCTGGCTTTGTACACGGGGGACAGTCATGGAGGGACAGAAAAGGGTTTTCACCAAACTGGTCCTCCATGTCTTTATGGATCTGGCTTTGTACACGGGGGGACAGTCATGGGGGGACAGAAAAGGGTCTTCACCAAACTGGTCCTCCATGTCTTTATGGAGCTGGCTTTGTACACGGGGGACAGTCATGGGGGACAGAAAAGGGTCTTCACCAAACTGGTCATCCATGTCTTTATGGAGCTGGCTTTCTACATGGGGACAGTCATGGGGGACAGAAAAGGGTCTTCAAACTGTTACCACAAGGCTGGAAGAGCACAATTGTCTCCAATGTCTTTGTATGATGGAGGATTACCAGGACCCTTCACTGGGGACACCTGAGCTTCATCATCTGGAGGGGAGGGTTTCACATACTTTTGGCCATATCATGTATACCTGTAAAGAGTTTTGTGAATCTGGGTCATGTTCCAGTTTGAAGAACGTTAAATGGGACCATTAGCCAGTCTCTGCTAAGTGAGTGTTTCTTCTCCAATCAGGTTACAGAACTTGCGACTGTGAAGCGTCCTCAGGAACGAGGATATTTGATGCAGCGCTGGCATGACTATGGAGGCATTCTAATTATCGGTTATGAAATGTACAGAAATCTGACTCAAGGGCGGAATGTGAAGAGTAAAAAGCTGAAGGAACTGTACCAGAAGACCCTGGTGGACCCTGGTAATGTACCGCACACAGTGCAGTCTGGACCTTCTGTTTGTTTCTCTCTGTGACTCCGTTGTAGGCGGTGGGAGGAATGTGCGCTTGTCATGTCTCTGTATGTTGCTGGTGATGCGGTTGTGCACATTGGCGTGTTACTAGCACATTTGTGTTCAGCTCAGTTCTGTCAAGCAATCACTCTCAATTTCCTTCAGAGCAGCACAACTTCCTCTAGTTACAGTTGGTGGATGGGAAATATTCTCTGCTCACTGTGTAATGGCTACTATATTGTATGGGTTGGGGCCACACCCACTGCGTGTGTTAATATCACATTAAGGGGCCCATTATAAAGTATATAACGTGCACTGCAGTAAAAATGCATAGGTGTGAGCCTACTGAGACCCCTATGGAGGTCCAGAAGCTTTTTCCTTTTACAGGCCCCTTATGGGTCTTCTGAAGGCTTCTTATCCTTCTACAGGACCCCCTATGGAGCTTCCAAAGGCTTTGTGTCCTGCTACAGGCCACCTATGGAGCTCCCGAAGGCTTTGTCCTCCTATAGGCCCCCCTATGGAGCTCCCAAAGGTTTTGTCCTCCTATAGGCCCCTATGGAGCTCTGGAAGGCTTTGTCATTCTACAGGCCCCTATGGAGCTCCCTAAGGCTTTGTTATCCTATAGGCCCCCTATGGAGCTCCCTAAGGCTTTATCTTATAGGCCCCCTATGGAGCTTTCGAAGGCTTTGAGCTACCTATGGAGCTTTCGAAGGCTTTGTCATTCCTACAGGCCCCCTATGGAGCTCCCAAAGGCTTTGTCCTTCTACAGGCTACCTATGGAGCTCCCAAAGGCTTTGTTGTCCTACAGGCCCCCTATGGAGCTCCCAAAGGCTTTGTTATCCTACAGGCCCTCTATGGAGCTCCCAAAGGCTTTGTCATCCTACAGGCCCCCTATGGAGCTCCCGAAGGCTTTGTTGTCCTACAGGCCCCCTATGGAGCTCCTGAAGGCTTTGTCGTCCTACAGGCCCCCTATGGAGCTCCCAAAGGCTTTGTGTCTTGTTACAGGCCCTCTATGGAGCTCCCGAAGGCTTTGTTGTCCTACAGGCCCCCTATGGAGCTTTGTCCTCCTAAGGCTATTTGCTTTTTGTCCTACAGGCCCCCCCTATGGAGCCCCCTATGGAGCTCCTGAAGGCTTTGTTGTCCTACAGGCCCCCTATGGAGCTCATGAAGGCTTTGTTGTCCTACCCCACTATGGAGCTCCTGAAGGCTTTGTTGTCCTACAGGCCCCCTATGGAGCTCCTGAAGGCTTTGTTGTCCTTATGGAGCTCCCGAAGGCTTTGTCATCCTACAGGCACCCTATGGAGCTCCTGAAGGCTTTTGTCGTCCTACAGGCCTCCTATGGAGCTCCCGAAGGCTTTGTGTCTTGTTAAAGGCCCTCTATGGAGCTCCCAAAGGCTTTGTCGTCCTACAGGCCTCCTATGGAGCTCCCGAAGGCTTTGTGTCTTGTTAAAGGCCCTCTATGGAGCTCCCGAAGGCTTTGTGTCCTGCTACAGGCCCTCTATGGAGCTCCTGAAGGCTTTGTGTCCTGTTACAGGCCCCCTATGGAGCTCCTGAAGGCTTTGTCCTGCTACAGGCCCCCTTTGAAGCTCCCGAAGGCTTTGTGTCCTGCTACAGGCCCTCTATGGAGCTCCCTAAGACTTTGTCATCCTACAGGGCTCCCTATGCAGGTCCCAAAGGTTTCCCTTTCTGCTACAGGCCCCCTATGGAGGTGCGAGAGAGGCTTTTTCGTCTTCTACAGGCCCAGGTCTTGGGGCAGAGCTCTCGGCTTATACTGGTCATCAGGTTGTAATGGTTTGAATTGTGCAGCTGTGTTCGATGTGTAGAAGTCATGTTCATCTTTGAAATCAGGAGAAGTCTTCTGACACTCCTTCCCCTCCCCCCTACTCTACATGAAAGAGGAGAGCCCGGCAGTGCAGCATAAATCTACCAACTGACTCCTAACCGGCCACTGAGTGCTCTGGGGACCCATGTGTGCAGCAGCAGTGAGGGGAGAGGAACTGTGAAGGCTCAACACACAACTACTAGGCAGTGACCCACCGGACTCCTTAAAGCCCCACAGCTACTTACATTCCAGGTGCAGCAAAACAAAAGGTGTGCAAATCATTTTTCTTTAGAAAGTAGCTACAGCTGGAGAAGAAAAGCCTGTCCCCTGCCAGCATCCTACAGAGAAAGGTGTTTGCTCTGTGTGGAAGCAGTGGTCTCTCTGCAGAGGTCTGAATCGGACCTAAAGCTCTCCAGTCAGCAACATTCAGGCTGCCTTCTCATAGGAAGACTTAAGATCTGACTCGGCATAGGATGTGTTGGAGCTCTGCAGAGAGACCACTGCTTCCACACAGAAGGCAAGGGTCATTCTGAGCAGCATGCTGGCCCGGGCAGACTTTTCTACTCCGACTGTGGCTGCTTTCTGAGGACAATGAAGTGTAAGGCTTTGCACGCCCTTTGTTTAGCTGCTCCTGGAATGAGCTCATTTACAGTGAATGTTTGGCTCTCAGGGCCCATTTGCTGTGATGGGGAGATGTTTCCTCAAAACTGTACATGGAAGATTGCTTTGTGACTGTTGTGAAAGATGGTGTATGGACAGTATAGGGGGAAGCTCCTCCCCCATCATGTGTCATCCAATCACATCGACCCCCCACTGGCTTCATCTGGAAGCTCAGGTGACCAACCACTGAAGGCATCTGCAGAGGACCAGTTCCTGTCATTGGTGACACCTTTGCAGTGTTTATTTCTCACTTCCTTTTGGGGCCCCTCTGAGGACCTGATCCGGGGTCCTGCTATTACTGAGAAGCATTTATTACAGACCCTTCCCCCGGTCCCCTGGAGCACCCGTCACCCCTCCTTTATACGAAGAGTTGTCTCCTATATTACCCCTCACACCCATCACCATCAGGGGAATTGAATGGAACGTTTGGAGGTTTCCTGGAAGGTGAGTGACCTGTAGAAGACCCCCCCTTCCCTCGGAGCCCCCCATTGCTGTGTGCAGTCACACGGAGCAGACATCACGCACGGTTATCCTCCAGTAGTTGGTGTTCTGGCCGCACTAGACAGGGCTGAGCTGCAGATGTGCCGATGTTTGGAGCCCATTATGGGGGTGAGTCACAGCTGGCAATGACCTGCCTGCCAGTCACATGGAGAGTCGCTCTGCGGCTTTAGATGGGAAAACATTCATTGCTGGGAAACTTTGTACATTAAAAATGCAGAGAAGCCGTATGGACGCTATACGTTCTGCGTTTGACTTCTGGAGTCCCTGGAGATCATTGACCCCCCGATGGGAAAGTCCTATTTCTGCCAACGGCCGAATCCCTGACTGTGTTCAAACCTGGAGTACGGGACATGGCAACCGCTACCGGGGGGAGGATTCCCAGGATGTGCTCCCCAGTCCGTGCTCCCCTCGCTGAATACTGCCTGCTCACTGCTAGATTTCTTTAGGAAAACACTACACAGCTAGGAAGTAGCTTTAGTGTGTGTGTGTGTGTGTGTGTGTGTGTGTGTGTGTATGTATATATGTGTGTGTGTGTATATATGTGTGTGTGTGTGTAATATATATATGTGTGTGTGTGTATATGTGTGTATGTGTGTGTGCCATATATATATTTTGTGTGTGTGTATAGTTGTGTGTGGTGTGTGTGTGTATAGCTTATATATGGTGTGTGTGTGCATACGTGTATACATGTTTATGTGTTGTATGTATAATGTGTGTTGTGGTGATCCTGCCATAGAGCTCCTTGTTTCTGTTTTGCTCTGTCACCCAGTTGTAGTCACTCCTAGTGATAGCTTATACAGGCAGTTTCGCATACGTGTATACATGTTTATGTAGTTGGCAAGAGTTTGTGCACACGTGTGGAAGCTTGTGGAGGAGGATGAGAGCAGAGGAGGTCCTGGGTGGGGGGAGTAGGGAGGATGAGGATGAGAGCAGTGGAGGTCCTGGGTGGGGGAGGATGGAGGATGAGAGCAGAGGAGGTCCTGGGTGGGGGGAGTAGGGGAGGATGAGAGCGGAGAAGCTCCTGGGTGGGGGAGAATGAGAGCGGAGGAGGTCCTGGGTGGGGGGAGTAGGGTAGGATGAGAGCGGAGAAGCTCCTGGGTGGGGGGGAGGGAATGAGAGCGGAGGAGGTCCTGGGTGGGGGGAGTAGGGTAGGATGAGAGCGGAGGAGGTCCTGGGTGGGGGGAGTAGGGTAGGATGAGAGCGGAGGAGGTCCTGGGTGGGGGGAGTAGGGTAGGATGAGAGCGGAGGAGGTCCTGGGTGGGGGGGAGTAGGGTAGGATGAGAGCGGAGGAGCTCCTGGGTGGGGGGAGTATGAGAGCAGAGAAGCGGAGGAGCTGGGGGAGTAGGGGAGGATGAGAGTGGAGGAGGTCCTGGGTGGGGGGGAGTAGGGGAGGATGAGAGTGGAGGAGGTCCTGGGTGGGGGGGAGTATGCGAGTGGAGGAGCAATCTGGCTCTAGGTTCAGGGACATTCCTTCCTTCCTTCTCGAGCCTGTTGGGCTGGGGAAGAATTCTGGGCACCTTTTTGGATGGTGACTTGTTGATCAAGAGATGAAAGTCCGTTGATGACTATCCTGGAACTTTGGACTCTTTGGCTGTCTCTTCAGCATTGGACACCAGTTGGATGGTGTCATGATGGTTGGATACATCATTTGTCACTGAGCAACCACAAAGTCTCACTGTGGTGCGGTAAGAGGTAGTTTGAATTCTTTCCTGGTCAGAACTTCCAGCCTTATACATCCCAAGCAGGTTTCCTCAGCTGGCAGCACCTTGACTGTCACAGGTGAGGAACGCCAGATGTGGACCTCCTGGAATCAATGTTTAACAAACAACTTGACAGGTTTGTCTCCAGCTCCAGGGATCCTCTAGCGAAGGCAACGGGTGCTATGGTGGCTCTGTGGGGTCAGTACTCCCAACCAGTGCCTTTTCTCACCTGAAACTTCCTCATGTGCCACAGGATGGAGCGAGAAGATTCCAGTGCTCCCCAGATGG